GATACAGTCAGCTGACTGGTATTTCCCACTGATGGAAAGGAGGACCCTAAAAGGAGGACCCTGTTAGCATGATACCATGTTCAGAACAGAGAGACCACACTTGCTGTTACAAAGGGTAGCTTCCAAATGGCCACTGTTGAAGGCCTACTTTACATGTAAGAAGAGTGGGGTTATCCTATGAATATCATCTCAGAAAAGGCAGAATACCATCATTATTAGGAATGATCTGTAGCCAGGATTTCTCTTCCACCCTCTCCAGGATCCTTCCTTTTTCCTTTCCTCTGTCCTGAAATATTATAGAGTATCCTGATGTTTCTGGTCTTGCACTGAGTTTCAGCATATTCGTGGACACTTTGTTAGGTAAATTTTTGTCTCTGTGACCAAAATACCCAAGAATAACTTAGAGGAGGAAAATTTTATTTTGCCTCATGATTTCAGAGGTTTAGTTCATGGTTGGCCAAATTGCTCTGGGCCCAAGGTGAGCAAGAACATCACAGAGGAAGGGTGTGGCGGAGGAGCACGGCTCCATTTATGGTAGCCAGGAAACAGAGAGAAAAAAGGGCAAAAGGGCTGTAGAAAAGATAAACCCTTCCAGGGCCACCCCCAGTGAATTGCCCCCAGTGAATCACCTGTTCCAGCCAAAGCCCCGCCTGCCTATAGTTACCTCCTAGTTCATTCAAACTAGGATGAACTGATTAGGTTACAGATCTCACAGTCCAATCATTCCACCTCTGAACATTCCCACATTAACACAGGAGCTTTTGGGGGACACCTTCTATCCAAACCATAACAGATCTCATGCAGATGTGTACAGTGTCGCTTTTATAGGGGCTGGGTTCAAAAGTGTTTGACACAAAAATCAAGCATTGTCACAATTAACTTGGAAGTATTTTATTTTATTTATTTATTTATTTWTTTTTGTGGTGCCAGGGATTGAACCCAGGGCCTTGGGCATGCAAGGCAAGCACTTTACCAACTGAGCTATATCCCCAGCCCGGAAGTATTTTAAATCTTAAGTAAAATTGGTGAAATAGTCACACTCTGAGAAGAACAAGGACAGCCAAAGGACTTTATCTTAACTGAGAAATTACATTACTCATCCTAACTTCTCCAGGCCATGGATGGACTTAGCATACAGAGTGGTGCTATTTAAATTGCTATTTCTTGGGGCTGGGGTTGTGGCTCAGCAGTAGAGTGCTCACCTTGCAYGTGCGAGACCCTGAGTTCGATCCCCAGAACCACATAAAAATAAAAATAAGTGAAATAAAGGTATTGTGTCCAACTACAACTAAAACACAAATATTAAAAAAATTGCTATTTCTTTCGTGGGATTTTGTTTTTCTTCTATTTTGTCTTCTCACATTTCCTTCTCTCAATATGACCCTCTGGCCTCCCTTCCCTTTTCTCTCTTTTAATTTTGCTTCAAATGCTAGTCCCTAACTTGCCTTATACTAATCTCAGCTTTGGTTGGGTTTTAAATTTGGTTTCCTCTCTCTTATAAAACTCCTTATGATTACATTGAAGCCACCCAAATAACTCAGGATAATCTTCCATCTCAAGATTCTTAACCTGGCCTGAGTGTATGGCTCAGGGGTAAAGCACTTGCCTAGTATTTGAAAAGCCCTGGTTTGATGCCAGTACCATCAAAGAAAAAAAAAATCTTTGACCTAATCACATTTCCACAGTCCCTTTTGCCATGTAAATTAACATATTTAAAGGCTCTAAGATTAGGACATGGACATCTTTGGGGATCACCATTCTGCCCACCACAGAAACCATGTCTTATTGGCTGCTGTATCTCCAGCAGTTAGCACACAGCCTGTCTCATATATTAAGCTCTTGAGAAACAAGTGTTTAATTGGCAAGTGAGGAATGGTAAACTAGAGTACTTTTTTTTTTTTTCGTGATATTAGGGATTTCAACCCGGGGTGCTCTACCACTGAGTGCTTCCTCAGGCCTTTTTAAGATAGAACCTCACTAAATTGCCCAGCTTGGCCTTGAACTTGTGATTCTCCTAAGCCTACCAAGTGGCTATGATTGAAGGCATACACCACTTGTACCTGGTGTAGATAAACTAAAATATTATTTTTTCTGTTTCTTGTTTCCATTTTCATTTTAGTTTCTGGTTGCTCTATTTTAAGTTGRTAAGGACCTACCTATGGCCAGGCAATCTGCTCCTCCAACTGGCCATGAATGGACAGCCCTTGACATTAGGGCTTGTCATCTAAGGTTGAGTGGAACTCTAGTTTGCAAGTAAATTTTAAAAGTGCAGACTGACTGTGTCACTGGGATGAGGACCCTGAGGTGGTCCCCAAATGGAGGTAAACCTCAACTCAGGTCATGGGGGTACTAGACATCATACAAAAAGGAATTTAAACACAGGTCAAAGTGAGGCATAGGTTGATTCTATTAAAAGAAAGCAAGAATAAGCACTCTGTGACAGAGTGTGGGTATAGGAGAGGGTGCACTAGCTTCACCTGAGCAAGACATATTTATGTGTATAAATTTATAGTGTTAGAGAGATAACCTAAGAGGGTATTTTTAATTCTTTGTGTTGGTGACTTAACATGTTAATCATTACTTASAGTTTTAAACTAATCAGCTGAAAACTGCTCTTTTTGGAGGGTGAATCTAGGGGCACTTTACTACTGAGGTACATTCCCAGCCCTTTTATTTTGAGACAGGATCTTATTAAATTTTTTAGGGCCTTGCTAATCTGCTGAGCCTGGCCTCAAACTTGCAATTCTGCCTCAGCCTCCTGAGTCACTGGGATTACTGGAATGTGCCACCATGCCCAACTGAAAACTCTTCTTTACCACAATGGCATAAATCTCCCACTTTTAGGAGTTAAGAACACAGGATTTGGAGGAAACAAGCCAGGGATTGTTTTTGAGGAACAGTCTTTATTTCTGCAGCAGGGGTTACCATCTAGGGGTGCTGGGTTTGTTGTCTCCATTCAGCAAAGAATTGAAGAACAGGACACAAAGATAGCAAGCAAGAAGTAGGTTTATTGAAAAGAGATATACAGAGATAAACTTCTCCAAAAAGAAGGGGCCCCAGAGCTGAGAATCCAATGGGGAATTTTGGTCTATTGTTTTTATGGTCTCCTTTCCTTATCCCTTCCCCTGTCCATGAGCTCCTATTATTGATCAGTGACCCCTCTGTCCATGCATCTGTTTTTGTTTTTCTATTGGATCTCCCACTTAGGAGCACAAGTTTGGAAGTGTCTGTCTGCTTGGGTTCCCTGCATGTGTCCATAAGCACTTTCATCAACAGGAAGTTGACCTCATCAGAAGATCCTCTCCATGCTCCTTTGTTCTGGCCCTGACCCTGACCCTCCTCACTTGACATCTTGCCCTGACTGCCTAACCCCTTCTATATCTCTCTCAACTTCCCCTCTCAGAGGATACCCTGACTACTGTTGGGAGTTGGGACGATGACCGCTCTGACTACTTCAAGCTGGAAAGGGGCGTTGTAAAGCTTGAGTCAGGGTGTCCTCCTGAGGAGAAGTCAAGGCAAAGAGCTGTGTTAAGAATGGTCCAGAGGTCCTTGGTAGAAACTGGGAAGCACATTTATGTGGAGTTTCATCTGTATAGCCATTCTTCTGATCCTAACATACAGACAAATATTACAACAAGAAAATGAGATTAATACTAAAGCAAATATTATTTTAAGGTAAACAGAGCAAAAGAATATCATTATGCAGTTGGAGAAACAGATAATTATTCCAATGATAGTTGGTATTAGTAGTTATTAGATGTGATATATCAATCAGCCTGTTAGCTATAATTTGCATATGTATTTTATATTGATTTAATTGATGTTGATTATTAACAAATCTTTAACTATAGTACTTTCATTAAGGACATCTATCAATGGTTGTAAACTTATATACACATGGGGTAAAGGTAATGGTTTTGGGTTCCATGTTAGAGTAACATCATCCACTTTATCAGGTAAAAGATGTCACCCTGTCAATGGAGGACCTCTAGGTATTCTATACAACCAGCAAAAGAAGAAACTTGAGTTAAAAAGTTTAAATCAGATCGATTATTAGTTGCTAAGCAGACATGTTGAACAATTACTTCAAAAAGCATAGAAAAGTTATGCACAGGATACAGAGTGAGGTCACATAAATTAGAAGAATAGTTAAGTAGACAGGGCTCCATCTGTCTACTCAAACAGCCACATACTCATCCCTGATCACAAATAATACATTCAGATAGGGAATAAGTCACATCTATTTCATCTACATGGGTACCAATTAAATGAGGCAAAGCAAAGTAGGAATGTAGAACAAAAGGTATAACATGAAAATTACATAAAACTTGTGTTGATTAGGTTTCATAATGCTGTATAGTCCCAGTATAAAATAAATCAGAGCATTGTATATTAAGTGACTGTAAAGCCATCCAGTGGGTTAAAGGAATATAAGTAGAAAATAACTTCCTAAAAGTGATATCATTTCTAGCAGTTAACAGTTGTTGTACAGTCAAGAGCATTTTGGTGAGGCAGGATCATTGTGGGAAGCCATTGACCATTAATTGTCAAAACTTGAGCCACATCTTGTCCACCACTGCGCAGTCTGCCCGCCAAGCTCTCAAGGTCAATTGAATTTACTATGCCCAAACTAGTTCCAGCTCCAACAAGCAAGGTATCATACCAAGCTCTTTTTTCTCCAGTTACATTGTTTTAAAATAGGAAAAGTCAAATTAAAATGTAACAGATGTTTCTGATAAATTTGAGTGACATTTACACAAGATCTGGGAACTCTATTTGTGGAGGCTGTACACTGTTTGCCATATTAAACAAAACAGAAACATACTCCACCCACACTATACAACTGTTGATGGCTGTAGCATTAGCATATAAAATAGTCTGTGGTTTGTTTATAGTAACATTCTCATTAGTACCATTAAAGACAGGATTACCAGAGCAATTGGTGGCTAAGGAACAATACCGTGCAGGAAGAGTGGCCCACAAAGAAGAAACATTGCAGCATGACAAGGTGAGATTTGACATAATGTCCAGTGTAAAAGGAAGCCTTTCCTGTGCCAAGGCATGCAAAGATGGGGATCTCTTCCACACAAGAGCATTTGCTGAAAGAGTCCAATTAGCAAAAACACATTTCTTATAACTATTGCATTTGAAGTTATCTTATATCCACACTTTAGTATCTTAGGTCCTTACAAGTGAGACAAGTGTAATGCTGGATTGAGTTAAAGGCATTCTGTGAGTCCAGGTGTGTACCACAGTCCAGGTTCCCAGGAGAAAGATTCCTGCAACATATCTTTGTGCATAGTGCACAGCTTGTAGTCATAATTAGGCTTCATTAAAATTAGATTTAGTAATAGATTAATGCACAGAACAGCATTATTGTTCGTAAATAGGTTAAGGCTAGGAATAGCTTATGGATAGGATCCGAGTCTGTGGAGCTGTTTTTACTAACCCAATAACCATTGATATTGCAATTAAAAGACCAATAAAATCAAACCATGTCACTTAGCTTGTTTAAACAGAAACTTGAGATCTTCTATTGTGGTCTGTAGGAGCCTCCATTGTGGTGGACTTTAATAGAGAGTCTCCAGGCTTTAAGGTGGGTATGATGTATTCAGGGTGATCACTGGGTAAGGACCCTCCCAATTGGACAAGATTTCCTGGAGCAGAAGATGGGGGGGTCCTTGATGATCTCCCTCAGGAAGTTCTTGTTCAATTTCTGTAAGAATCTGTTAAAACTTAGCCAACTGAGTTACATGGGAACTAAGAGAAATCTCAATATCTAAAAATAAATTGTTGGACTAAAAAGGCCTTCTGTACAGGGACTCAAATGGATTTAGTCCCTGTCAGCCAGGAGTGTTTCCAAGCCTTATCAGGGACAAGGGCAGAAGTTTAACCCATGGGATTTTAGTTACCTGAAGCAATTTGCTTAAGGGTCTCTTAAGAAGTTCATTAGTTTTTTCTACCTTGCCTGAAGATTGAAGTCTCCATGAACAATGAAGATGATATTTAATTCCTAATGCTTGAAAGAGTTTTTGTGTTATTTCTGCCTTAAACACAGGTCCATTATCATTTTGAAGACTTCAAAGGAGATCAAATCAAGGAATGATCCTACTGAAGTAGAAATTTTACAACTTCAACAGCCATTTCAGATTTGGAAGGAAAAGCTGCTACCCATCCACTGAATGTATCCAGAGCTAGTAAATATTTTGAATTCGGTCCTCCAGGCATATGGGTAAAATCTAAAATGGCCAGTCTGCTTCCAGATTACAACCTGTTCTTTGGTATCTGGGAGGGTGGATATGTTTATTAGAGGGATTAATCCATTGACAGATTTCACAGCTTTGGATGATCTGTTGGACTGTGTCCTTTAAGCCTTTTCCTGAAAACATTTTTTTTTTTGTATTAGGGTAAGAGTATTATCTCTTCACAAATGGTAGAGCTGATGAATGGAAAGATTTTAAAACCTTCCATTGGGATGCTTGGGGAAGCAATAAGATGACTTCAGGAGAAACCCACCATCCTCTAGGATCCAGTTAGTATCCTTGAGTCATAGACCTTTGTAATCACTGCGAGAAAAACCACAAGTATTTGGCCACTTTCAGCTCCAATTGGGATGAAAAAATTGTTTGTTCTCCTCATCAAGACTTATGGTAGGAAGCATCCTCCAAACCTAGAGAGTTTCAGATGCATAATGGCCAATACAATGACATGTGTCACCATAATAAAAACCCAGTTATTTTCTCATAATATGCAGCTCAGTGGGGATGCAGTTGAGGGATAGAACAGGGACTCAACCATGTCACAAGTTGTGTCTGGGCACTATGACTTGTTGCCTAAAGAGTCCCAGGTGGCACTCCAGCCAGCTGTTCTAGCCTCAAGACAGAAGAGGAGCAGAGCTCTGCCAAATGCATCATCTTCCCTTTAATTGAAAAGGCAAAGGGTTTCCCAGAAATCCTCCATAGACCTTTGCACATGTCTCTTTAACCAGAATTGTGTCATAAAGCCCACCCTGGAAATGAGAGAAACTGGGAAGTTATTTAGTGGGGTAGATTGCTACATCCTTCCCCAAACTGGAGCTCTATTACAACAAAAAGGATAAGCAATGAGCATTGTCTGATTCCATTAGCACTGGACCTGAAAGGGAGAAAAGAACCACCAAACTTCTCCTCATGTCATTTCCCAGAGACTATATTATATGGCCTCTGTATTAGCCTGCTTTCTGTTGCTCTAACAAAATACCTGAGGATGGGTACTTTATTAAAAGATAAGGTTTATTTAACTCGAGTCCAAGATTTGGCAGCCTCTGTGACTTATCTTTGTTGAGGGTTATCACAACATGGTGAATGGCATCATGGTGGGAGGACATGCAAGGGGTAGAGATTGCATGGCCAGAAAACTGCAGAGGGAACAGCCTTGCTCTTTTTTTTTTTAACAATCCCCTCTCACAGGGGGCCCATGTGAAGTCCATTACTCCTTTCTGAGAGCATCATCCCGAGTGACTGAATTACCTCCCACTAGGCCCACCTCTTACAGGTTCTACCACCTCAACACTGCGACGCTGAGGACCAAACCTTCAGCCTATGAACTGTTGGGGGACAAACCACATCCACATCATCACAAGCTCCAACAAAGCCAACATCGTAAGAGCAGGATGTCCCAGTCTACAACATGTGCATATGTGGGGGCAGGGGAAGGTTGCTCCCAGAGTCACTGAAAGCAACCAGAGCCCCCATTCTGGAATGTCTGTGATGTCAAACTTGATATTTCTTCCCTTCCCTGCCATAGTCACAGCACTCTGGGTGCTAACCTGTAAGAGGTAACTAACTGGTGGCTCTCATTTCTCTGAGAACAGAAGGCCTAGCCATGCCTTTCTCAAAGGATGTCATGCCCCCACCCCAACCTATGGTGGGATATTCCTGTTTTTCCCAAGCCTGTTTTCTGCATTTAATGTAGTGCTGCTGGTCACTTTCAGTGCCTCTTCTTGGCATTCTCATGAGTCTCTAAAGTGAGTTGTGGGTTTCTTACAAAAAGAATGGAAAACAGACAAAGATAGTGAAGAGGCAGGGAAGTGGAGAGAGAGGGTCAGGAGGGGAAGGAGGGTATATAGAGTTAGAGGGACCCGATGTGCAAGCACAGAGGTCTAGAGTGCCTGGTGCATTTAGGGAACGGCGGGTGACTGATAATGCTGGTGACATTTGGTGGAGTCTCTGAGGTTTGACTCTAGCCTTAGATCTGTCTCTAAGGCCTGTGAGTCCTACCTCAGGTGAACCAGGCCTCTTGGGAGCTCTGGGTTGCCCCAGACCTGAACTGAGTCTGCCTCTGGTTTCAGATGCAGATGGCTGGCTCAGAATGGAGAGTAGTCCTTTCCAATGATTATGGGCCTTCTCTTTGTCCTAACTTTCTACAGTCTGATAGGTCTAAATGTCTCAGATCCTGGTATCTTGCATCGAGGCAAGGCCTCAAACCCTGGGAGAAGGAGGTGGCAGTCCAAGGGCTGATGCCTATAGGGGTGATTTCTAAAATGTTAAACCCACCTGTGGCCTCAGGATCCCTTCTTTCCATGTCATCATTACTTTAGACCCTGGCACTTCATTTCCCAAGCCTCCAAGGTGAGAAAAAACAGAATCCTGGAGGTTTTCCAGTTGCTTTAAAAGAGAGGACTGAGCAGGCTGGCAAGAGAGGCAGCAGGCTCTTCCAAACCACGCAGTTCACTCCTCCTCCTTCCCAATTCACACCCGACTCCAAGCACTGATCACTATTCCTAAGGGGGGAGCGCCTTATAGAGCTCTTGAGGCTGGACAGCCCCTTCTCTTTGACTGCCCACCCATCTGAGTGGTCAGCTTGCTCAACAGGGACCGGGATTCCCCTGCCCACCTCCTCCCCATCTTCTTGTTGCCCAGTGATGCTATGGGGCTGCCCTGAGCACCAAAGTGATGGAAAGACTTCCTGCCACTGCCCCCAAATCTTTTCATGCCAGACTCCTTCTAGCAGGACCCTCAAGACGACATATGAGGCAGGGATGTGTGCAGGATATTCCAAATGCCGTGGTGCCCAAAGTGCTACTTCCACTGCTCTCCAAGGACTTTCCACTGTCCATGGTGCAACATCTGTGTGGAGGTGAGTATTCCTCTTTCCTGTCCACTCACCAACCCATCCCAGGGCACCGGGCCAGGACCAGGAAACTCACATCATATGTGGGCCAGGGGTGGGTATGAGACCATCTTCCCAGACTGCTAAAAATGGCTCCCAGACACTCTTGGTCACTTACATCTGTTATCGCTTCTGGTTCTGCACCTGAGAGACTGGCCTTGCTTGCACAGGTGCTGACATGCAAAAAGGCATCTCATCTGTGCTGAGCCTGGTGGAGTCAGGGGGAGGAAAGGCAGCACCTGACCATCCCCTGGCTTTCTGATATTAGAAACCCAGTCATTTAGGCCAGCTGCTGCCCTATTCTGGGGATCTTTGCCTGTCCACCTCTGGGTGTCCAAGTTGGAGGGTTTCCTGGGTTCTGAGTGCTCTTCTCTCATGTGCACACCCTGCCCGGGTTTCCAAGTGCAGAAGGCTGGCTGGGCAAGAGATTTTTTTCATCCCCCCCAGTATCTGAGAAAATAGAGGCCCAGAGTTATTCTATATCCTGCTTGAAGTGACACCAGGCAGGTCTTGTCTCTAAAGACCTCATTCATGACAGGCGATGGGCCACCTCGTCCTAACTTGTGCTCTAACAATGGAAATGCCAGCTTCTCCCTGGAGATGGGAGCCCGTGTGTAGAACCAAGAGCAAGAGGCCTAGAGGGCCAATTGGGGGAGGCCTCTGGATTTGGGCCGCAATGGAGGCCCATCCAGATAGACCCTTGAGTCCTGCCTCCTCTCCCCTAGGAGTTTGACCACCACTGCAAGTGGGTCAATAACTGCATAGGTCACCGTAACTTCCGGATCTTCCTGCTGCTGCTCGTGTCCCTGTGCTTCTACCTGGGTGCCCTGCTGCTTACCTGCATCATATTCCTCCAGCGCATGAGGCACATGTCCTTCTCCCTGGACAAAGCCATGGCTGTCCACACAGCCCCAAGGGCCCACAGTGGGAAGAACACGAATTGTGGGGAGGGACGGACTGCCCAGGGGCTGGACAGCCAAGGGGCAGGGTAACCAATGGTGGGGCTGACGTGGGCGGGGCTAGAGGGAAGAGCCACTTGGGAGGACCTGTGAAGGACAGGTTGAAGGCGAGAGGGGTCAGGGAGATGGGTGGGGTAGGATGGACTGTGGAGTTAAGAATCTAGCGGAGCCAGGGAGTGGGGTAATGAAGGTTGAAAAGGAACAGGCCTGACGACAGCGCGGTGGAGTGAGGTGTCCCTTGGGTGAGCTGGACTAACCGCCTAACTGTGGTGGGCGGGCGGGGCTCGCGGGGGAGGAGCCAGGGAGGGCGGAGTCGGGCTAAGGGGAGGGGCCAGGGAGGAACTGTCCSGTGGCCTGGCTTCCTAGCCTGGGCGCCGCTCCATAGAGGCTGTACCCACCTTGGGCGTCCTGCTGCTGCTCATGCTGCTGATGCTGATCTCCACTGCCCTTGGCCCTGCTGGTGCCTCCTGAGCCTTTCCAGACCCACCTCTTACGATGCAGCTCTCTCCTCCCCCTGGAGCTCAGTGTTCCTTCTCCCTCCCGGGTGCATTGCAGGGAGAGCCTACTGTGTGCTAGGCTGCACGTTGTTTGAGGAATGGGTATAGAGGTGAGTCTATCCTGCAGTTGTGTGGATAAGCACCCTGCCATCAGAATAACACCGGCCGACACCCAGGAACACTGTGAGCAGGGGTCAGTCCTGAGTGGTGTAGTGGACGGGAAAAAACTGCTGGTTGATCATTGTTTGTTAGTATTTTTATTGTGATTGAAATTACACGTGGAAATAGAATACGGTTATGATTGCTAGGAGTGTTGAAATCAAGAATGATAAAAAATATAATTTGATGAGGCCTTTTTGATTAGAGGTTACAGTGGAGGCTGTTGAGTGAAAGTTAGTGGTAAATTTGGGAATAGTTTTTTCTAATCAGACTAGGTCTAATAGAGTTGATGAAAGTTTTTGGCTTATAACAAGATTGAGATGAGGGTTAAATCGGTGAATAATAGTAGGAAAATAGCCCAGTAAGGTTGAAAATTTTGATGTGTTTGAGTACATTTTGGTTTTAAGATAAAGAGTTATTGAGTTTAGTTCTATGGCAATGACAAACCCTAAAACGGTTACTAATAGTGCTGAAAGTTTTAGATAAGTAGGTATGGTTAGGACTGGGATATTTATAGGTGGGATATTATATGAAAGGATAAATCCTGCAATAATACTTCCAATAAGAAGGCGTTTAATTGAATTAAGTAGTTGAGGGTTGAGTTTGGCGAGGCCTACATTGTAGAGGAGGACATGCATCTCGTCACGTCCTGGGTGTGATTCTGGAGAGGCAGAAGACAGGAGGGCATTGCCTGTGAGAGGCACACCTTTGCAAAAAGTTACAGAAACCCGAAGGTAGGATATTAACGAAATGATGAGGAAAAGGCTCTAATTCAAGCCCAAGGTGGCATGGGCAATGAAGTTGACCCCCTAGGGGTTGAGATTAAAGAGAAAGTGAAGAGTACAACTTAATTTTGAAGAAGTGGAAAGAAGTGGAAACCTGGGAGCCATGATAGGTTTTTGGTTTTTTTTTAAGTCATTTATTGAGGAATAATTTACAAACAGTACAATTCACCCTTTTGGTTTATAGTTAGGGATCTTGACAAAGGATCCTCCTGCATTCTCCAGCACGATCAAGCTTAGAGTTTGATTACCCCATAAAATCCTTTCATGATCTTTTGTTGTCAA